TCATATGACACTGTAGGATTGTTTACAAGAAAGTCAAAGCATTTTAACAAAACCAGCTGATCCCCCTCCACCTCCCAAAAAAAGGACTTTGAGCAGTTTGATCCAAGGAAGCACACACCTGCACTCACCTAGCAGCAGGACATGGTTGTGATGGGCAGCCCTGCAACACCCATAGGTGGACAGAGGGGGCTGTGGAGGGGCTCCAGCTCCTCACTGAATGAAAGGCACCTACTGATAGATATAAACATATAACAAAACTAAAACCACCTGATTCCACAGTACTGATGTTGAGGCCTTGTGCTCAAAGAATGGTATGTACAGTTGGGAGAGGCTGGGCATCTAAGGAAAAGGGATCAGTCCATGTGGCCCTGATCAGGAGAGCAAAGCTGTAGCAAAGGGTGAATGCCATATACCTCTGAGTAAAATTTTGGCTCCTTAATCTCAGGGAAGCAAGATGGGAGAAAGCTGCAGCCAGTCCCTGCCAACAGAGCATAAAAATTAGCTTCCTTCCAATTTATTTGACCTTCATGGCTACTGTATACAAACATCAACAATAAGGCTCCAAAACTCCAGCATCCACCCTTTTCTATATGCTCAGGAAGATGATTCACTGCTGTCATGGGTCGCAGAGAGCCAGTATATCTCAGGACCCAGAAACCACCAGCTCGAGCCTGGCAGCCAGGTGAGGCTATTTGCCAAACCTGCCTGGCAAAGGCTCAGCACAGGCTCAGCCCGTGCCAAGGTGGCCACACTCCACATATGGGTAGTGGCTGTGCACTGCCGCGCCATGGAGCAGACCACGCAGAGGAGCTCTGCAGGGCCTGGTGTAGCTCCTCACCAACCTTCACACAGCAATTGAAACAAGCTATGCGTTTTATAGCTCAGTAAACCAAAAGGCCGAACAGCCCAAGCTCCCATTTGGTGCTAGGGTTGGGCTGCCCACAGGTTTTCCTAACTCGCAAAGAGGCAGAGTGAGATGCCAGGTCCTACAATCCTCCCACCACAGCGCAGGCAGCGGCTTTGCTGTCAGGAAGGAAGGGGTTTCTGCTAAGCCATACAGGACAGGAAGAACATGATGAGCAAGGCACCCTTCACAGGCTCCCTTCAGATGCTTGCCAAGTTTTATTGTGTCCGGATAAGTTTAATTCCAGGGGACTGCTAGCTTCAGCACACTTGGAACTAAGAGCATAGAAGGTCATGCACGTCTTCAGAGGTCCACCCAGCCTTGCAAAACACAGCTGGAAGCTTGTGAAGGACCTGCCCTGAAAACCTGATGCCTGCGCGTGAAGCATCCCAATACCCAAAGACAAAATTCCAGTGGATACGAGTGGGGGGCAAAAGGGAGAGCACCAGCTTGGGATTCCTCAGTACTGAAACCCTTGCTGTAACATAAGGAATGCAGAAGCTCCCTAGTCTGGCTGTGGGTCACAGCAGACAGCAATCACAACCAATCAGCCAACTTATTTCAAGCCTACCTGGTTAATGGAAACTGAAATCCTATTTTACTTGATCCAATTTGCTCATTTAGAGGCAAAGAGCCCATCAGCTGAAACAGCAACTTCTTGGCAGCCGTTGTAGTAGCACTTCTCTCTTTGAGGGCAACATACTAGTTTTTAACACCACATTCTAGCAACCCCTGACTGCCAGAGTGCAACTAGCAGACTGATGTCTTTGCATATTGGTATCCAGAGACAACTGCTTCTCTAATACTTTGGCAAAAAGGAAAAGAAACAGTGATCAGAACCAAAGAAATCAGGCAGGCATTCCCTACCCTAATGGTAAACATGAAACTAACCCCTAAGAGAAGACATGGCCTTTTCTTCTTCTGAGATCTTTGTGGCAGTTTTTTGGACTCTCTCGATTCCTGAGCATCCTCCCCCAGCTGTAAGCCAGGAAAACTGTAAGAGGCAGACATGGGGCCCCATAGAGTAACCACTGATGAAGCTGGGCTTTAATGTCGTGGTCCACAGACAGACTGAAGCCCCTGGCTGATGGAGGACACTCCATCACTTTCAGGGCAGCCACCACACTGGCTCTGAGCTGCTCTCCTTTCAAATCCTTGGAAGAAGAACTGAGGTGCAAAGAAGAGGAAATGGCTTTGGTAGAAGAGAAGATGCATGGGGAGATGCACAAAGGCTTTGGTGTAAGCTAAATAAGGAGGACAAACCTCCCCAAGCTCCAAGGGGGATAGTGGACATGGCTGTGCAAGGCTATTTCATGAGTGCAGAGGTATAAAAGGGCAGCACTGATCCTGTCTGTTGAAAGTGCACATTCCCTCCCCCTGGCCAGAGCACACAGCAGTCACAGCTCCATCATGTTGAGCAGGACATTGAACACAGGCACCTCCTGGTGCCCTGCTCAGAAGCAGAACAGAGAGACCTGATGAAAGAGCAAAAAGGAGCCATGCAAATGACGCAAAAGCCAGAAGCCTTCACAGTTCAGCAAGAGGCTTACAGGGGGCTGACCCATTTGTTCTGCCAGAAAGAAGGCAGATGGATATGTGATGGCACCTTGTAACACATCCTTGTGCTCTGGATGGTGTGGGGATGAGAAAACTGCACACATGGGCAAAGCCAACACTAAGCCCTGTCTGCTCAGAGGAGGAAGCAGCAGCAAAGACTCCTGCTCATTTCCAAGAAGGCGCACAGGCAAGAAAAGAAGTTGTTTGGGAATTCAGTGTCATTTTCAGTTTGGCTTTTATTTTCATTGACTTCGACAACAAGGTGTTCCAAAACACACATAGGTCTTGGTGCAGGCAACACTGTCATTGCTACAAGCATTGGCAGATTCTCAGCTCAATTAACCCATACACTTTGATGTATCAAAACAAAACAAAAAATCACAGCTCTACAGGGGATGGTAAAAGCTACAGCAGTTCAAACTCACTTGAAGATTCCAGTTATACAGAAGTGGGCTCCATAGTGGTATACAGTAGAAAGGTTTTCACAGCATATATTTTAATCATTAGTGATGCAGCAGAAAAGCTCCATCTCACTGCTGCGTTAAAAAAAGCAGATACTGAAGTTCTTGCACCCAGACTCTGGGCACAGCATTAACTGCATTAAACTTTAGTCAGAAGCTTCCTAGTTCCTAAAACGACGGTATTTTTGCATCAATATTTGTACAATACTGAAGCAGCTCAGAAGGATTACACAATGGAGATGCAAAACCTTGGGGGCGAGAAGGGCACAGCCTAATTCACCTCCAGGAATTTGCAAAGTACCCGCACTAACACTTTCCCCGCACTAACACTGCCCCGCTGAATTAATTTGTGCATCGAGTCAAGAGCAAGATGAGTCACTTCTTTTGTGGCATACAGAAAAAAAAAAAAAAAAAGACGACATAGTAAGTTTTCACACTGAGCATGTTAAATACTTTGAAATCTAGGACACTGCTCTTTGAAGTGTTACAATACAAAATGATAAAACAGGCTTTCAGTACCTGCCCCCTCCCCCCTCAACTGCAAAGTAACACAGGAATCTCAGTATGAAAAATACAAATATATTTGTCCAGTGATGAGTCATTTGTTACAAGGTATACTGTAAGCGTTCTGCATAAAAATAATAATTAAAAAAAAAAACACAACAGGAAAACAAACATTTCATTGTGGTTCTGTCAGACCCGGTAGCCCAAGAAGAAATAAAAAGTGGCATGTTATGCTGTAGGAAACAAAAATTACACATACAAAAAAATACTTATATACACACTTTACAGGGTAACCATCTTGCATTACCATTTAGAGCTATCCAAAATAGGCTTGCACAGTTACCAAAAGGCAGTCTTTGAATGCAACGCAGACCTGGCACAACAGATAGATGGAGGAGGATGCTAACAATATCAGACTTAAATGAAATAGGTGACACACAGCAGGGCCCAGAAAACAGCCACTGCATTGAAACGAGATTATTTGTTTGTAGCAAGGTAGGATGACAAGGTATTTAAGCTGGTTTTTTCATCTTTTCCCCAGCCAAAAAGAGTCAGGCTTACTGTTAAAAAGAGCAAGACAACTTGAAAGCAGCTGTACTGAGTCGAGCTCCTCAGTTTAGGGTTCTTTTGTATGTATGTTAGAGTCTCACTACCTTGGCCAATATAAATGTGAAAACATGCACTCTGTTCAGTTACTCGTCCACAGGATCACTGGCAGTCAGAGGAATTGCCTCAGAGCACAGCTGCTGTAGAACCAATAAAGAAAAAGCAGAGAAAAATCAATTTCTCATGTAAACATGACTTTTTGCAGTAGCAACACATATTACCAGGAGCTGGTCCTTGTTCCAAGGCAGTTGGAAATTTCTTTCTGTTTTTACTCTCCACGTCTATTCGCTCATCACTTAGCCTGTAGTCAGCACCAACAAACCACAACAGGCTCCAGCCTGCTACAGATAATGTCTAAAGATGGTTCTACTTCACAGGAAACCAATCTACCCTGGTCTAAACAAATTTTCTGTGCTTGGGATAGCTGAAGCCCTGCAAATCAGGATGCAGCTCTCTGTTCATCCTCTGTTCAACTGGAGGCTAGGCAGGCAAACCCCTATGCTAAACTAACCAGGGTGCATATGTGGCAAAGCCTAAGCCTCTAGCTTAAATGTCAGTAGTAGTACAGAATGGCTAAAGGTCAGGTGGGGGACAGAATTCAAGAGTGACCAGTGGCTGTATTTGCATTTTTATCCTGAAATAAGCAAACCAGGACAGATGCATGAATGTAAATTCAAAACAAGAAGAGACAGCAAGTTTGGTTTTTCTCAGAGAAGGCGAGGGAAAACGAAAAAAGTGGGTTGCAGGTGGCCATAAGTGTTGGCCTGCCCAGCAAAGTGCATGTGCTGTCTCCGCTGGAGAATACTACACATGAACAGAGCACTTAGCTCTGTGGGAAGAGGCTGTTTAAGTGCAACGTTCAGCAGACCAATTCCCATTTATTCTTTGGATGAACTGCCAGTTCAGGATTTAGCGGCTTCATTTTTTTTTGCATTTGGTTTTGGGGTTGGGTATTTTATTTTTTTGGCTTTTTAAAAATTTATTTTAACTTTCCTGCTTTTCAAAGTGGGATTGCTGGATGAGAGAAACAAGTTTGCAGGTCAGGATGCCCACAAGTTGTGTGAGGATTCAAAAGTCAAGAAAAGAAGCCCTCTCCCCAAAGGAAAACACAAAACAAGAAAAATGCCTTCTTGAGGTCAACGGCTTTCAAGGAAATACCACCCGCCTTCCCCCTTCGCTCAGCTCTTCCCCTTGCAAGAGCTGGGGTGGAAGTTGTGGTCCAGGAGTACGACCTAGACAGCATCAAGGGCATAACCTAGCATGAGTGAGCAAGAAGGTTCCCTCCGCCCTTCGTTCAGGGGTGCAGTACCAAGCAGAAGGAAGACAAATGAAGGGCTGAGCAGTTTGTGGCCGAGGCGGAGTGGAGTGGGGTCCATGGGGCTCACTCCCCTTCCTCCTTGATGCGTTGCTGTTTGTTGCGCCGGGCATCCATGTCAAAGTTGAAGTCGTTCCACTCATCGCGAGGCGGGAAGGAAATGGTCTGCCGGAGTGTGAAGCGGACTGCATCGATGACCCGCTCCCCCCGCGTTTCACTGGAGCCCACGCTGACAGTGGAGGCGCCACTGGGGGTGCGCAGGAGGTGGGGAGGGGAAGAGAAGTCATGGAGCTGCCGGTGGTCCAGGATGCCCTTCCAGATGGCATGGCGGAACTGCTCTGGGATCTTGAGGCTCACCAGATCCTGTAAGGCAAGGTGGAGGGCTTAACAGGGGCAATCCTGTTAAGGGCAAGCTAGGTGCCAGCAGTAGAAGCAGCCTCTGGGCCGCTCTGAAAATGCTTATTAACCAACAAAGCTGCTAAAATCGAGGTGGCCGTGATGCACTGCAGAAGACCAACCACTAATCCTGAAGGTGGTAGTTCACTTCTGAACAAGCATTTGAAGCCATGAGGCAGCAAGGACTACTGACACAAGGTCTGTTTTGAAGTTACATAAAACATGCATTCATGCATAAGATATGATGATCTAAAAGCTAGAAATTTAACTGGACTGCAAGACCTCCAAGACAACCTCAGAGAGGTCTGCTGATTATCTACAGAGGGAGATGCCGGGCTGCAGAAGTTCAGCAGCTTTGAAAACTTCTGTGTTTATTTCAAAGCTTGCTAAAGGATTTTAGAATCCAAGTCTGAGCTCCCATATTCAAAGCTCTATGTGTGACTCTATAGGAACTGCCTTAATTACTTGAATATAACCAAAATTTAAGAACAGACACATAACCTTAGAAAACTCAGGACTTTGAGGCCCCATCATCTCTGGTGCAGCACCTGAGGGTAGCATTACCTAAACTCTGGGAAATGTGATATCAGCTTCTGAAAAAATTAGCAACCAGCTTTGGTTAATTTGTGTCAGCTTTTCTAGTTAGAGCAGCAAGAGAAGAAAGGCAGCCACACTAGGAAGCAAAAGCACCACAGCCTTGCAAAGGCTCAGGGCAAAAAAAGGGGACAGCCAGCTCTGAGGAGAGCAATGGCACAGGAGAGGGAAGCAGCAACCCTGCAGCAAAAGCCATGCGAGAGAAAAAAAAAATAGCATCTGCGCTGAGATGCCAGTGGTAAGGGAAGATCGTTAAGGTAAGGCCAGAAAACAGAAGCAGGGAGGGAAAAATGCAGACCACTTCTGGACAGCCTACTTGTCTGCAGGCAAGTGAAATGTTTCAGAGCAGTGTAAACTGAAACCAAGCCTTGCAGAATTAACAGGTGTGTGGGCTGGGGCCATTTCGGGGGCTAAAATGCACAGTGGTGAGGAGCAGGAGATGCTATTTCTCTGTGCCAGGCAAGGCAGTTACAACGCTGGCCCTGAGTCCAGCCTCTCTTTACCTCACACTAAGTCTTCTCTGTGTGCAACAGCCTTAACTAATCATATTAAAAAATAAAAAATAAAACCCCCTGAGTTTGGATTTCTGACCTGTTCCTAAAGCAGGGCCAAGAGCGCAAACAAAGGAAACAGTGAGGAGTTACTTACATCCATGGAGTAATGCTCAATCTGATAGATGGTGGTCAGCCCCTGGGTCGTGAAATAATCCACACAGGATGAGCAGCCCAACCTCGCTAAGAAGCTGCAGAGGAGGAAGGAAGGAAGGAGAGAGAAAAAAGGATCACCCTGGCTGCAACAGCCCAAACCACAGAAAAACCAAACACTCAGCCAACCTGCAGCAACAGGAAACAAAGCTTTCACCCTTGACTTGACCTTCTCCAAGACATCCCAGGCCAGCAAGAAACATCACTGCTGCATCAAACAAACAAGGGACTCCTTCAGCTCGGTGCCTAGCAAACACAACCCTTGTGGCAGCACCTTGCCTTAGTCAAGAGCTGGTGCTGCACAGCCTGGATCTTGGGGCAGGAAGGCTCACGTGGACCCTCCTGCCAGGTCACTTCACTCAGAAGGTGGCTAAGCCCATGGCAGCCTGCTGCATGGATAGAGGGCTTCAGCAAGGCAGTGAGTCTGGGCCTCAGACACATCATGCACACAAAGTACTTCAAATCAGCACATTCCTCCCTAAGTGTAAAGGATTCCTCTTTTATGGGCAGCATCTTTCAACCTGTTCAACCTCATGGAGGGCAGAGGGGCTTCTGACCCCAGCTGTGGCTTGTCAAGTGACCACAGGGGAAAAAAAAAGAAAAAAAAAGGAAAAAGAACTATTTGCAAGACTGCCTGGCACTCTCAGCTCCACCAGTCCAACAGATGCTGCATCCCTCAGCTTTCTTGCAGTCCTAATGTCCCTGTTTCTCTCAGGTGCTCAGAGGGAGAGGTTTAAGGCGTGGTGCCCAGAGGATGCCAGCCCCAGGACTGCCAAGACCCACTCGGATCCAGTGCTCCAAGAGAATGGGGCAAGGCACCTGGCAGGAGCCTTCAGGCTCCTGACGTAAGGCCTCTGCTCCCTGCAGGTGGGAAACGTGTGCTGGGCAGCCTGCTCCCGCTCACCTGACGATGCTGCAGTCTGTGGGGTACGGAGGAGGGGGGGTGCAGTGGGATGTTGAAGGCATGGAGAGGGGAGGAGGCAGCGCCTGCGTGGGGCTGAGGCCATTCATGTCGCCGGTCATGGCCATATGGGTGCCCATCATGGGAACTGGAGGAGAGAAGGAGGAGTATATTGTTATCCAGGCACCCCCGGACCCCTGCTTCACCCCCAGCGTGGCACCAATGGACAGCACCCACAGCCGAAGCAACCTTAAATCCACTCACTGGAATTTCAGGCAGGGCTACAATGACTGCACAAGGACTGGATGACAGATAGTCCTTCAGGAGCTCTCCCCTCACCAGACCAACTGTCAGCAGCACCGCTTCATCACCTTCCCTTACAAACAGGCTCGGTAGAAACTTAAGCAAGACTCGTCTTGGCTTTCCCTGCCGCAGGAGAGGAGCAGGACAGAGCCAGCAGAGTAACCCAATACAGAAGCCAAACATCTTTGTTTTCAGAGACACTGAGAGCACCCGAAGGGAATCAGCAACAGGTGTGGGCAAGAGTCCAGCGCTTTTGAAATAAATAAATAAATAAATAAATAAAGACAGCCAACCAACAAAACTCAGCCCCCAGAACCATGTCTGTCATCCTGGATTTACAGGGCTGCTGGGTACTCTTCAGAAGCCAGGAGGAAGCAGGTTACAGAGCTGCAAGATGCAGATACTTCCTTTGAAACTAATAATTGTCTTAACTGAACAGAGGGAAAAAAGTTTGCCGATGTTTGCATCTCTTCTGCTGGGAAAGGAATAAGAAACAAGTCTTGGAAGACAGATGACAGTACAGCCAGCCAGATCTGCAGCAAGAAGTAGCTTTGTTCACCCCTGTGAGGCTCAGAGCAGGATGCTGAAGCCTTGCCCTGTGGCACAGCAGCGAGCAATATTTGGCTCTGCAGGTTCCCAGCAAATGACTCCAGGCTCCCCAGCCTAATACTAGCCACTTGGAAATACCAAGTCTCCTTGCTCAGGCTAGTGGGGAGCATGCATGAAACAGGAGAAGTGAGTGTTTCTTACTGTTGGTTCCCATGCCGTCAGGGATGGTTGTTGGGGTCAGGGCATTGCGCTGCTGGGGGTTAATTAGCTGGCTGACCGAGGGCAACTTGTTCATGCTGTTCATTTTGCTGAGCGGTGGAGAGTTGGAGCCGTAGGATGACTGCGACTGCATGGAGGTCCTGCAAACCAAGGAGATATTAGGACAGGAATCACAGCAGTTGGTTGTTAAGAGCATACATCCAAGGGACTACATTTTCTGTGGCAGTAGTGAGTTACTGCTAGTGAAATTACTGACATCATGGAAGCATCACAAAGATCATTGGAGAGAGAGTCAACAGGAAATAAGAAGTTTCCCAGATATTCTGGGCATTTAAAAAACAAACGGTGAAATGGCAACACAGGAAACCTTCACTTTTGGTTCACATTTTTTTATTTAAGGTAAAGTTTCTACGTAAGTTTTTCAGTTGAAAATAACACATGCAAAGCTAGCAAACAGCCGCTAAAAATCAAGAAGAGTATTTTTAAGTTAAGATCTCTTTGTGGTCAAAGACCTTTTTTTGTAAGAATATGAGCTGAGGAAGCCATCTCAAACTATCCTAACTGCCTCTAAAACCTGACTGCAGAAACAATTTTCAGATCATATCACACTTACCACTTTGGTTTCTCAAAAATGCCTAGTTATTCATATAATCAGGTTATTTTCAGGTGTATACATAACAGCCAGAGACTCTTTGCTCAAGACAGATTCCATGCACTTTAGGGACCGCTACTGAGGTGGTCAGAGCTGCCTGGGGTGCCAACATGCAGCTTGCACTAGTGTTAAGGAGAACCTGGTATCCAAACCCTACAGACTGCTTGCAAAGAGTATCAGATATCTGCCACCACTCGACAGCAGTACTAGCCTCCCTCAAGTCCAGACAGCCCCGAACTCCATCCAGCATATCCACAAACCAGGCCAGAGAGGCTTGCTGGCAAGCTCCCCCCAACCCAGCCCCGAGGGTCCCAGCTGCAATCCCGCCTCGTAAGCGATCCAGACTGCAAAGACCAGACTGCTTCTGAACAGCAGCCCAGTTCCCAGATCAAGTTACGGCTGTGGCATCCCATCTGGAGTGGGGTCTTATTTGGGATATGCAGAAAATGATCATTAAAGCAGGTCCAACAGCACAATTGGCAGAGCACTGCCATGCCACAAGAGAGCAGGTTTTTCTCTCTCTGACAACACGGGCATTTGCAAGACTGGGCAAAGATGCTGGGGAAGCGTGCCCGCTTCCCAAACACGATGTACCCTCACAAGCCGTGCTTGCCCAGCAGAGCTGAGGTCATCCGGCTCGCCACGGAGCCAGGCACTCGTTCGGCCATATCATAGTGACCTCGAGGTGAATATACAAGGGCACATTCCCATCTTATTCCCCATTGGAAAACTTGTTCTTCTGGGTATAACTGGTTACACCAATTCCTGGGAACTGGCTTTCCTTCTATGCAAAGAGAGTAATTATTACTTCAAATAAGTAAAGTGTAAAGAAAAGAAAAGGCTTATTCCTAGATAATTTATTAAAACCTTCAGCACTCAAGGTCAAGTTTCATGCAATTACATTGTCTCCAGCTTCCTGCACTTTTAAGACTTGCAGTGTTGGGTGGAGAAAACATCTATGCTAACAGGCTAGAGTATCTAAGGCCCTGAAGAAATGTTACCTAATTACACAATTACAGGAGGTACAGAAGGGTGTGAACTGTCCTTTGGCAGTGAAGATGCAGGACAAGATCCAGCAAACTTCATAGACTCAAGGAAGTGGAAAGCACAAGAAGGTTCACAAATTAATATTAACGATGGCAGCAACTCCCAAGGGGAAGTGAAACTGAGCCATGAAATTTAGAACCAACTTTTCAGGGTGAAGGGAATGATTCAGATCTGAGGTTTCAATTCACCAATTATAAAAGTTGAGGCCAGCCATGAAATTCAAGTCAGGTTGACACCACCCTTTACCTAAGAGGCTTCTGGATTTAGGACAAAAATGAGTATTTCTACTTAACAGTTTCAGGCACCTATCCTAACTAAGCTTCAACTGAAATTAATACACACCTGAGTAACCTCTTAGAGCAAAATCTGCATGATATGCAAGTGAGGAGGTCACCACGTACACAGTGAAATTCCAAATCGAATTAACAAATATTTCCCCAAAAAAGATTTAGTTGCATTATTTAAGCTCAGGACAGATTTTATTCTGACAGCTCACTACTAGAAACTTTTTTTTCCCCCCCAAAGGCTGCCTGTTGCTACAAAACAATATTCTCCAAGGAGGTCAGTAGTGGGCCTAACTTTGCCTTCTCCACCACCAACTGTGATCTCAGCAAAGCTTAGTTAGGAGACTACAAAATATTTTGGGGATTAAATAAAAAAATAAAAAGCAGCAAATGAACACAAGCCAACCCAAAGCACCCTACACTATAGAAAAAAAATGCACACTTTAACATATAGCTTAAGGACTCCATTCTTATCTCATTCATACTCATAAGAATCAAGATTAAGACAATCAAGCTCAAGTGAATAAAACAGGAAACAAAAGCATTTTTCTTCATACCAGTACTTGTTTCAACTAAACTATTCCATCACGCGAGCAGACACGTAAAAAGTCTAGAGAAAGCCATCTAGCCAAAGAAAAGTTCCAAGATAAATACAATGCAAAATTTTATTGAAAATTAATGTCACACATCAGTATAGCAACAGCCTCAGAAACACAAGAAAATGTTTTTGGTATTAAACACACAGACTACATGGTGTTTGAGGATTCATTTAAAGTATATTGCTTTTTTCTCAGTTTTTTTTTTTTAAACAGGTATTATAAGAATGTCATGCACAGTGATTTTCATTAAAATTACACTTACTATGTCCCAAGAAACATTAGAAGTAGGAGCATTAACATTTCTTTGATATCAATGCCAATGAAATGCATTTTAATATCAAGGTATAAGGACTTCAATTAAGAGGCTATTATACATCTTGGAACAGTCTGATACGAAAGGCACTGAGTCACATTCTGCAACTGATTTTTCTCTCTTCAAGAGGCTTTGTAATTATTTAGCCAATAACATTTGCAGTTATGCAAGCTCATATGAGGGCAATTGCCTTGTGCTTCAAGGCATATACTGATCATCTCAAGAGGTCAGGAAGGAACTTCCTCCTTCTCCCACATACAAAGCACAGTTCAGTTCACAGGCTACCTTGTATAATTCTGCACTTTCCCAGCTCACTGGCTATCAGCCCTTCACCAGAGGTAGGAAACTGCTTGGATAGACCAGTTACCTGATTCAGTATATAAGTCCCAGAGTCCTCGTTCACATTAGATGAGCACACCATCGTGCAAGCAGCCTCAATGAAAATGACATCAAAGGTTCATTAAGTGCAAGAATAGGGCAGCTCAGGCTCAGAGAGTTTAAGATTTCACCCAAGCCCCTGTGCCTAGAGTTTGTTACCCCTGAAGACCTGCAGCTAGTCATGAGACAGAGAGGCCCAAGTGGAATTGAAGCTGTCCAGTTCTGGGCCTGCCTTTCCTTACCATAGCCACAGCAAGTGCAGCAAGGATTACATCCCAAGTTCACATATTGTCAACACGCCCACGGGCAATGTTTTTTCAAGTAGTGTTGCCCACCGAGCTGCGTAACACTGGGATGTAACTAGTAACGGCACGCAAGTGACGTGTCACAGATGATGGTCAGTTGCAGTTACCCACTTTGAAGGCCTGTGAAATAGGACACTAAAAAGCAGAGAGATACTCTTGCTCTCCACATTTCAAACATCTGCTATTCTAAAGCAAGCTGTAGTGCATCTTTTCAACGACACAAGTAGTTTGTAGGCTTGGTAGCTAACTGGGAGCATGGAAAGGAGGAACCCTAATGGTCACTAGGCAGACAGCAACTATAGTACAAGGACAAGGGTGACGATAATGACTCCCCTTAGATTTCAGGTATGGGTATGGAAATTTTACAAGGCAGGCAGTGGATGCAATCTGCTGTTCAGGGAATGGAGCTATAATACAGGGAGTGGATATTCATCAACTAGTTAACATAGGCTGATATGACCTGACCAACTGATGAGGTCCAATTAGTCCACGTGGTTATTCCTTGAAAGGAAAAGGCTTACTTTTCTGAAGCCCTAGAGACGGTAAAGAAGCAATCAAAACACAGCTGGGGAAAAGTTATCTTCTTTTACCTGCAGAGAACAGACTACAAAGCAACTCCAATTGCTTCCAGCTCCAGGTTATTTGATTAAAAAAAAAGTTTTAAAAGCACCTTTTAAGATAACCACCTTATAGCTGAAGAGCAAATCAAGTAACCATTATGACCGGTTTTACAATCATCATCCTCTTACACATAAGGAGGACAAATTGGAAAGTGGGACAGTGGGATCCAAATAATTTACGTTCTTGTTTGGTGGATGTCCCAGGTGCTGTATTGCCCATCATGGCACAAGAGATTTCCTAGATGTCAGACCAGATGATGAACTGGAGCATGAGCTGGAATGTCCCAGTGAGGGCTGTGGATGCCTTGTATCTTCTGGTGGGCTGCCTCCTCAAACTTGCTGGTTGGCAGGCCCTGGAGCAGAGCTCTAGATACAATTCGTGTCTGTAGCACAACAGTCCCTGTTGCGGTATTTCCATATTGCCATCCACAAGCAGACAAAACCAAGATCCAGGAATAGACCTTCATTGGAAGGACAGACTGACAGTGCCAAGCATAATCCTGCATCTAGGCTGCATTTGCAGTCCAGATTCCCACTTCTCACAGGGAAAGGAATAGCATTGCCTTTCTTCTCCCAAATAAAAAGGCATAGAGCAATAGTTATCTGCTTTGTGATCTCGAAGTACTTCCTGGAGTTTCCAGGCAAAGTAAAGAGGCACTTGATTTGGTTAGCTTTACACAAGGAACAATGGTAGAGCTGAAATTGTACAAAATAGTCACTGCTAGTGTTTAATTAGTTATTATTTATACTTAATACAATTTTTGGGGCTCTTCTCCATCAGCCCTCCCCCACACTGCTATGGTAAAACAAGTCTTGCTAAGTCAATGAGGGAGATATCCAGAGATGGTATATGGCTCTCAAAGGAGATGTTAGTACGAGTTATCACCTGCTGAGATCACAGCTCTGCTGCCTGGAAGCAAATGATGTGATGTGCAGAGATAA